TCGCTGTCATCAAACATTAGGCGGCTAAAAACTCCATCCTCTCGTTGTCATCGCTCCATGTTTTGTTTACCTGCATGTTTACGGGCGATGGAGAAAAGCAAGAACAGATGTACAGCTCGGTGAGGTGGAATACGTGCTCAGATGAGGCTTGCTCGTCAGATTAAAAGTACCTTTTGATAGAAAAAATAAAAAAAAAGATCTTGAAGCAGGTATGAAACATTCTTCAGCAAGCCCACATTTCTATAGATTTTACTGATAGGTCCGATGTAATATTCTCTACTTGAAGGTAGCGTTTTCATTAGCTGGAAGCAGAAAAATCACAGGTTAGAAAACATCCATCTGTGTGTAATTAATCTTCACTTGGTAAAATAAATGAACATTTCAACAATATTCTAACATACTGACATGCACCTGTATGTCTGTTGTCGTCTAGCTCTGCTGAGTTATTCTTTAAAAGTAAAACCTAAAAACACATCATCACTGCAGACGTATCGAGAAATCAGGTGGTGACTGAAATCAGACAAGACTTGTCCGCACATTGTTGAAAATGAAAAATGTCGACCTTTTTCTGGTCAGTGAAGGTGCAAAAAAATGTGCTGCTGTAAATGAATGAAGACTCAATGACAGGGGAAAATACAGCAAAATACAAAGATGTAAAAAAAAAAGTAGAAAAAAAACCACTTAAAAACTCGGCTTTGTTGTCAGAAGTGTCTGCCCACGTGTCTGTCACATTTACGATATGAGAGCGAGCAAGACTCCCAGCAGATAACAGGAAGGTTAGAGTACAACAAAGTGTCTTTTTAAAGAGCTTCCACCATCTAACTGTAGAAAAATATGTCGATAACCTTTTGGAAATTTCAGCTTTAAGAGTTGGGCTGACATACTGAGGAGGAAATTCAGGTCATTTTGGTGTGTTTGAACAGGGTCACAGCTAAAAGTTTCAGGGCAATGGCTGATGGTGTGCTGCAATGGGAGAGAAGAGACCTGATATGCAATATTTATGAAAAGTTTGTTGTTTTACTGCACTTTAAATACATACAAATAGTTGATTTTTATTATGTTTAATGCAGAATCTTCCTGATCTTAAATAACTTGGATTTTTATTACTTTCCATGTCATTAGTTCGGTGAGTTTTATAGATTTTGACTTTAAATTACAGATGTTAAGGGAATCAAACATTTTATCTGCATCTTCTAAACTGGAAATATCGTCAAGGATAGATAAAAGGAATACTTTAGATTTCCCAACGTGATTTTTAGTGAAGCTCTCAGCAGTAATGGCTGCTTTGAGACTGCCACACTGTTTCTCATTTTGCCATGTGACTTGGTGCATCTAAAAGCACACTTTATTTAAAAAAATACTATAATTATCTAGAACATAAAGCCTTGTCTACTCTTTAAAGTTTGTGTTGCTCACATTGCTCCTGTGTGTGGTACAGAGTGTGTATGTTGGGATGAAGGTTGTAGAAGGGCTGTTGCATTTTCCAGCTCACCGTCTATTTATTTATTTTTAATTCATTTTTCATGGTTGAAGCTGATAGTTAAAGATCTGAAGATGAAGGTCCCAGCCAGCGTAACAGAGGTGTCAGCTGTAATACAAAGATGTTTTATTGCGATGAGATTGTAGCAAAAGCAAAACAAAAATCCTCAAAACAGTAAAATGTGAACAGCTAAGACGATAGGCCCCAGCTTTAGCTGATTTTAGCTAACTGAAAATGTTCAAACGTTGTATTAGCAGATATTAAACACTGTTGTATTTGTCAGTTTCTTCAACTGAACAACATTTAAGCTTCCACATGATTATCTGATATTATATAAATATGAAATGCACATATTTCTATGTCATGATGCTAAATGAACTGTTGTAATTGGATGCCGCCATCATCACCAATCAAAACTCAACATTTACACCTCAACTTAACTCACTTAAAATCTACAAAATCATACTCATATTCACACTGTAACAGCTTTACTTTACTACAAAGTCCTTTCAAAACTTTAATTAGAAATGCACAAGGATAAGAGGCAGTGGTGTACTAGTGATTTAAACTGTTACAGGAGTCTGTTGAGGTTGTGGCCAAAGGCAAACATGATTCAGTAAGTATGCAGTATGCATAACCTGGAACCACTTACCACCGAGGATGCCCTTTTTCCTCTCCTATCAACAGTTTTCAGACCAAAGTTCTCTTGCATATATATAAAAAAAGAAGAAGAACGCATCCGTCCTCCAAACAAATACAGTGACACAACAACCTTATGTTGCAAGATTAAGACAATATCCACACCACCTCCCCCCCCCAGCGATACCCGGTCTAATCAAAGATGAAAAGCCTTTATTAATAAAAGAGAGAGTGAGAAAAAAAAGTTTGCCTTCGGGAAGATGGGAGCTAAATGATTGCTCAGATGTGCCCAATTTGAGGCAGATCTGCTGGCAGACCTGGCATCTGGACGGGGCGGGGCCAGCAGGAAACTGTTACATCTGGAAGCTGTTTCCTTGGCAGAAATTAAGAGACGCACCACGCACAGATACCACCCGCAGTCACTCACTTGGAGTCGGAGTGACTGTGTGTCTGCGTAAGTAACACATGTTTGTTCCGGCCCCGCTTTTGGTGTTTGTGTTCCTTTATAATGCTCACTGGTGTAAGAAAATTATATGATTGTGATCTTGCTGCATCTGGCGCAGCCGGTTCCTCGTGCGACCGTCTTGTAACGGAAACGTCTCTCGTGACGCAGCTGCTGCAGACAATACAGTAACTTTGACTTAATTTAATGGCTCCGATGTGAAGCAGATGCGACTTGGATGCTTCATAAAAGTCCATTTCTCCCCAAGCCATTACAGTTCTACTACAGACCCGAAAAAAAAAAAAGACATTATAGAAGCTGTAGAATCGCTGCCCGTATAGATTAACAGTCTTTTTTTATTTTACCCATTCTGTTTTTTTTTTGTTTTTTTTTCTTCTTTGCTTCTCAAAGTCTTTTCTCTGGTTGCTGTGGTGAGGGAGGAATGTCACATTAGTCTGTGATTATCTCTATAAGGTCTGCATTCGGTTTCCTCCAACTTGAGTAATTGCATTTTTTTGTCGTCTTCTCCCTTTTTTTTCCCCCTTTTCTTCTTTTTTTAATCAAACTCACAAACAATAAGCGGGCAGGCGCTGACAGAAAGTCAATGTTGCCTCGGACAGCCGTTTGGTCTGAGAAGAAGGCCCAACACGGACGCCTTTTATGCTCGGGATGACGAGGCCAAGTGGGCCCCCCATCACATGGCCGCCAGGTTAAACAACAACAAAAAAAAAGAAAAAAAAAAAAGAAAAAAAAGCCTCTGAGCGATCGCCCTCGGAGGACTAAAAGCAAAATCCGGTGCAACGGTGCAGACAGCCACCACTGTGCAATTCTAGTGGTCTGACAAAAGACTGATGCTATCTAATAAAGAAGACTGCATCCATCTCGGGCACACAAACGTCACCGACAACACAGACAGGCAGAGAAAGAGGAAGAGAATGAGAGCGTGCTGTTGACTCTCAAGCACCATAAATAGTCGCTGTACTCTGTCAACAAGAAATGAGGTAAATAAATGAAGTCTAGGATGGAGGAGTGGGGATGCAGAGTGTGACAAAATGAGGTCATTCTCTCGGATGCTACAGGACTCAAAACAGAGAGCCCTGGAGATCAGATTAGGCGCTGAAGTAAGTTACAGTAATTTAATGCTGCATCAATTCAACTGACATCATTCATTTTTTTTTTGTTTTTATTAGGTTTGATTTACTGTCAGTCTTGTAACACCTCAATGCTTGGTTTATGTCCAGCTGCAGCTTCTGATATGGCTCACTGCCCAGGGTGCCATTCGAAGAAAGAACAAAAAAAGAACAAAAACGTTCACTGAATTGTGTCCAGAAGGACTGTTCTATTAATTATTTGCATATCCAAATAAGTGGGGAACGGCATCCACTTGTGTCATTTACAGCACATAAACTTTCCAAGCATTTCCATGGAAACCAATAAAGCTAGGTCAGTCAGACAACCTGGGTGTTCAAATGGATCTCAACGAATATAGTAGAAGTTTGTGTTTGTCATGTTGCTCAACGTGTCATGGAATCTTCCTCGTGAACATTTATATTTGTGAGAAAGAGAACGGACGAAGCAGAAACAGCTGGAGTTGACTGCCTGAGCTAGCTCCCACATGTTAACATATTAGCAACGTCTGGGATCTAATCTCCTCCGTCACTCTTCAAAATTTGACTCTGTTTTGTCCAAAAGATGGCGCAAACTCTCTTATATCACTGATACAAAACATGGTCTGACAAACATTTTAATGTGTGACACAGAAATTGCTTATTTGGTCGTAATTAACGTTTGCGCTGAGGTTGTCTGGTGGATGTTTGCTTCGCGTACAAGCAGACCTCCGCAGATTGAAATACGACCTAGGAGCCTTAAGGCCGGGACACACTGGATTTGATTTGGCATTTGATTTGGCAAAAATAAAAAATAAAAAAATCGGGTTGGGTGACATACACAACAGTAACAACACGTTAGAGCTGATTAGACCTCGCAGACAACAAGCAATTCCCAGCCACTGCGTCTTTGACTGTCTGAGCAACATAGACCCAGCTTCTATTTTGGCTGGAACTACACAGTTCATGGGAATGTCATGAGTGACACAAAGTGGAAAAACTACTAAAATCTTTTACTAGCAAAAAAATAAAAAAGCTTTGTAGTTAGCCATGATAGGAAATAGGGTTAGGGTTAGCAGCAACTTTGAGTTTACCTGCCAGACCGGCTTGTGTTTCTGCTGCCAGCTTTCTGGTACATACTGTCAAGTGACTACTCCATCTCATGAGGCTGGTGGTTCATACAGGGACCTTTGAGTTGGCATCAACATATCAGGAAACAATCTGATCAGTGTGAAGTTGAACGCAAGTGGTGTGTCTTGACCTTTAACATTGACATTTTAGATACCAGGTGAGTCTGGGAAAGAAAGGATGAAGATGTGGAAAAGGAACTTACCTCACTGTTGAGTAGAGTGGTGGATGAGTGATGCTGCGGGGCTGTTTCTCTTCCAACCAAAGATGTGACTTCTTTCACATCTTTTACCTGTGGTGCCAATAAATGTGAAGGTTTGAGGGTGAGAAGGCATTCTGCAAAAGTCTATAACTAGACCAGTTCAATAAGACAAATATGGAACATGAGAATATGGATATGAAAGATGAGATGCTGCTGGCGGCAGAGAGATTTCAGGTGAAACGTGCCGTCTGGACTGGAAGACAATGAGACATGACTGCTGCTAAAATTGAATAGTCGGTGAGAGCGCACTTTTATGGAAACACAAGGCCCATGTCAGGGCTGCGTGGGATCACCGCTAACATATGCATGACAGCGACCGAGCTGAGATGTTTGCTAATTTCTCCCCTCATTTTAAAAATTCCATTTTATTTGTGCTCATTGATTTGGTGTGAGGATGGGAATAGCCGGCAATCAGAGCTGCAGGAATAAAATGCTGGCACTGACCTGTGCATAGATAATTCACCATGAAAGACAATCAATAAATAACAAACACTCGCTAATCAGCCGAGGAGCTGACAGAATGACATTCCATTATCCCCCTCTGGCCCGCTGCACTCGGAACAGCCAAATCTCAGAGGGCCAGGTCTCCCCCAGCACACACTTCCTCACCAAAGCCTGTCCAGGCCCAGATGTCACATCACAACAAACACACACACACACACACACACACACACACGGATGTGTCAACCATACACCTACAATGAGTCTCAACAAGCATCTGCTTTAGGAATATCTCTTTAAATTTAGGGAGCTTAACATCTACAATGTGCATGTATTAAATTATTGTCAAAAATTTAATTCATGTCAGGTCAAAAAATGAAAAGCAAGTCATATGGATTCCATACACACATTTAGTGTTTACTGTCTCTTAAATTTGACTATAGCTTGAACATTTTTAATGGAGTTGCTGGAGAGCAGTTTTTGTAACTACACCTTTTCCTTCCTCTTCACTTTTCAATATTATGACCTGTGTGAAAAGCCAGCTTTTTTGTAACGGTGACCTTTTGTGGAGGATAAACCAATGACTGAACAACTGAACAATTGTCATTTCTGTAAATGTATGCAATCTGCAATGTTTGCAGTTTGTTTCTGGTTGCCATGACATTTAATAGCTCTTGAGAGAAATGTTTAAGGATCTCAGTGTCAATATGATGTTTGGGCTGAAAAAGATTTTGTGTCCAGGTAAACTATCTTTCCGCACACAAAGATTAACAAGATATGTTCTCCTACCTGATTTGGCAAGAAGTCAAAGATTCTTTCAGTACTTTTGATTTTTTTTCTCCATATAACTTTATATGTCTGTTGCATATTTAATAGAGCAAATTTTTGATTTTTTTTTTTTTTTTTTTTTTTTTTAAGATGAGACACTTACTCTGTAAAAAAAAAAGTAGCTTTTTACTTTTGGTATACAACGTATTAAAGAAGAATGTTTCACATTTCTTTTGGCTTCAAAAGAAGTAGCAATTAATTTAATTATTTTATGTAAGGTACATAATGAAATTTAACAGAATTATTTTTTTGCTCAAAATATTAACCATGAAAATATCTTCATCCAGATCAGACGAGGGCCCTTAAGATGTCCTCGACTGGCAAACTGCAGTTGAGAGTGAATCTGAATATGCTGCCATTATATTAAAATGAATACTGTTTTTTGAAGGACATGTTCTTTAGTTGCTACCCAAGCATCTTACTATAATGGTTAACAGATGAAGGAGCATCAGGGATTGAAGCAACACCTGGCTGTCGCAGCTTTTGGCAGAAGGACTGTCACAAAGTTCAGACATTAGGAATGTCTGTGGAAATGTATGTACACAAGGCTACTGATCCAATTTAGCAACAAAACATCCAGACATACTGTGGGTTTGGTAACAGAGTTACTGTTGTTCCACCTGTATGAACAGAGGATATCTGGCTAGCTTTCCTTCGGTCTTTGGTAGCATTCTAGCCAGCCTTCATTCCAGCTAACTATGTCCAGCAGGTTTAAGAGACGTTATTATGAATACAATAGCACAACAATCACTCGCCTGCTAGCACCCACACCGGCTGTATGCTTATATCTGTAAATAATCCATCTGCTGTAGAGCAGACGAACGTTAACAGGTGAAACCTGAACAACGTTTTGTCCAGAATTGGACCCGTTGGCCTAGCATGTGTGTCTCCAAGCAACTCTAATCAGTTTAGTAATTACTGACTAATTGTTGACTGACTGATGAGTTGTTCTACACAGCTTCTTCTTTAATAATTTACTATCTTGCATCACTGAAGGTTATCTCTGTCTACATTAAAAATAAGAATAAAACAAAACTTGCATTATGGAGTCATGGGGTCCTTCTGGAATGACTGAAGCAATATTTTGTTTTTCAATCAAATTATTACAGCTATTTCACATTATAAATTGTTATTTCATCATATATTATAATGCAATATTATGTATTTCTTTTTACATTTAAACTTAAATTCATGCCAATTAATGTTTCCATTTTTCTTCAATATTTTACAAATCTGAGAAAGCATCCATGATACTTGATTTATTATCGCTAAGATTTTTACAAGTTACTTTTTGTTTTGTAGTATATCCATGTGTACAATTCAATCTGCTTGCCGGAGGGTTTTACATGATTCTTTAGTTGTGACTACAATTAGCAATGCAACAATTATGTCATTAAAAATTCATCTCAGATAGAAAGTAATTAAATAGTCTAAGTTTCTTCATCTAGTTGAACATTAGTTATCAAATACTTGTACCAATGTACAGCTGTGCACCAAAGTCTTGAGAAATTTTTCCATTCTTGATTACATGAAGCATGTAGAGGTGGGCAATATGGAGGTAAAGTTTTACCATAATAGTACCACAATATTGTGTGGTATAGTACCACAGCAGTGGTACTATCACTATTCTTTTTAAGGTACTTGTAATACGTTTCTTTAGGGTACCAGTCACATGAAGTGTGATTTGTATTACTAAACTGCACAAAGTGACTACATTTAATCATACTTTCAAATTGATACTTTCTATAAAAAAAAATAAAAAAAATGAAGAAAATGTTACAAAAGTCCCAACAATACTGACAGCTTTGGAGGTTTTTAAACAACATTAATTGGACCTTATTGTGACGATAAATCAAAAATCCTATTGCGATAAGAAGTTATCCTAATAAATAATAAACGACACAATAATTACCAACCACAATGTGAAGATCATATGTTTTTCTATACAAAACAATATCTTAAAAATCAATCAGCAGCACCATTTATTCATTGTTAAATTTGATTCATTCAGATGTTTTTGCATTGATCTTTATAAAGAAGCATCGTCAGAACCTGTTTTAGCAGTATCTGTGTTTTTTCCAGTGAGGATATCCAGTTCCCTTGCTGCTCTAAGGGGACTGAGGTTACAAAGGCTGTGAAGCTCTAAGCGGTTTACACTGGACTCCAACTGGGAGGTAATAATGTCAATGGTGGATGTGTATGAACATATTGTCACACAAGTGCGTGTGCTTCAAGGTAGCGGTGGAGTCTGGAAAGATAATCTGCCATTGGTGGGAATTACTCCCATTCAAATCATGAAAAGGAGTATGATAGACAAGGGACAATTAACAGTCTGGGCTTTGTAAAGGATGAATTTAGCAACATATACAAAGCTTCTTAGCGGGCACCTGAAAGCGTCTGGAACAAAACGTCAGGGTGGTTGTGTCTGAATAGAGAATGAAAAGCGATATGGGTTTTTTTTCTGTGCCAACACTCATGATTCCACAGATTATGCCCGTTTTGTGTGTGAAAGTGATTGTGTGTGTGTGTGGTCTCCTTGTGTATAACGCAGCAAATACAAATCTGAAAATTGTGGCATGCATTTGTATTCGGTTCCCATTACACAGAAGCCCCCAAGTAAAATGGAGTGCCACCAATTACATTCAGGAAACTTCTCAATTCACCCAGTATGGCACAGCTAAGAAGCTACTATCCTAAACATACAACTGGAGCTATGGTAATGGTTTATGCCAACGCCTGGTCAAAGTCCACACCAAAACCTAAAGAGGAAACTGTGGCAAAACTTGGAAATTTAACCTCATAGAAACTCCATCCAATTAGCCTGATTTTGTGAAGAGAAAAATAAAACTGTCAGTCTTGAGCTGTGCAGAAATGTGGCAGGTGCCACGTTCTTTGCATGTGGAAGAAAACCTCAGGGCACTTTAACGAATGAAGTCTGTGTCCACACTCCTGATTCCACAGATCATGTCCATCTTGTGTGTATGTGTGTTCTCACAGCGGAGGTTCCTGTTTCAAGCTTCATCATTCATGCTCCTGAACCAGAGCAGCTAGTTTTCATAAAGTGCCAATGTACAGCATGCATTGAAAATGAGCACGGTATCATGTTGCCTCTGAGTATGGCAAACCTCTTAAGAAGCTTTTTTACTATTTTTTTTTTTTTCCCACCTAAAGATAGGACGGAAATGGCAATCCGTGAGTCACGTCTCCGTCTCAAGCTTCATTTTTAGAAATTATACATTGTTAATTAATCTAATGGAGCTAATGCACCGATACTTCCTGCCTCTGGACCGTCGTCTTTGAATCTTTCTGTAATCCGAGACGAGCCTTAAGACGTGAAGGGTGCTGCAGAGCAAAGAGCTACAAGCAACCACAGGTCCTTGGATGCGTTTCTCACTGATGTCATTGCTTGGGTTCAGTGAGCTGAAGCATGGAAGCAGATAGTCTGATATCAGCAGCTGGCTACCTTTATAATACCTTTTACTCAGAAACTTGTATCACAAATCAGTAAGAAATGGCCCCGCAAGAGAAAGCCATCTCTGTCCAAGAATAACTCTACGTATCAAGTGACAACTCAAAGTTTCCAATGAATACTTCAAGGAGTTGAGGTTTAATTATTCAAGTGGCTCAATGCTAAGTGCTCCGAGTTTTTCCCCCCAGAAATCTCTCAATTCTTCTCGACTGCTTGTCACACATTTTCTCGGAGCAGTCAGGGCCAAAATGAGTTTCAGTCATGGATCATGGCGAGTAATGAAATAATCCC